TCAGCCCCGGAGGAAGACGCCTGTGTGCGGGATAGTGTTTAGCTCAGTGTCAGGTCTCAGACTGTCCTCCATCATGCCCATGTACCAGGTAAAGCCCTTCTGTGCCGCGGACAAAAAGATTGATTTACCAACCTGCATGTACAAGTTACCAAATATCCACGCGCAGCGGGGAAACGACTGCTCCTCCGAACACGCGCTCCAGGTAACTGTGAACTTCATTTAGATACACCTCCTCTCTATTTGCAGTTTTATTACACGTTCATAGTTTGTGTTAATCTCTCGCTGCTGTGCGCAGTTCGCTCTGCTCCTCTCGTGGCTCCTCTCGAAGCGTCTGTTAGCATTCGCCGTCTTTAGCTAAGCTAGCTGGCTAACTTAGCATGTGAGGTGCTGTCACTTTCAGCTGATGCAACACATCTCCATCTCCACTTTGATTATAGATGATCACTCTTTATCAGGTGGTGACACTGTTGGAGCAGCAACACGGTCATTGTTAATAATATATAACAAAAGTGTTTTGTTTGCACAGAACAGATGTGTTCTCCAGCTGTGCTACAACCACAATACCACAGAAGAGCTCTTTATTATTATTGGTTACAACTAAGGAAATCTATTTAGCAGCTCTTCAAGAAGTGTGCACTTCAACAAAGGAAACAACATAGACAGCAGCAGAAAACTATATATACATAGAGTAATATATAGATGGATACATACATAGATGGATAGATACATAGATGATAGATAGATAGATAGATAGATAGATAGATAGATAGATGGATAGATATATAGATGGAGAGATAGACAGACAGACAGACAGACAGACAGACAGATAGATAGATAGATAGATAGATAGATGGATATATAGATGATTAGCTAGATAGACACATACAGTACATAGATGTATAGATAGATACATAGATGTATATATAGATACGTAGATGGAAAGATATATATATATATATATATATATAGAGAGAGAGATAGACAGATAGATAGATAGATACATACATACATGGATTGATAGATAGATACATGGATGATAGATGGATACGTAGGTGGATAGATATATAGATAGACAGACGGATAGATAGATACGTGGATGATAGATAGAGCTACACAAAGGCTAAGTTGCATTAGACTAACATAGCCTGCAAAATGATGAAACTTCAGATATAAAACTAGAAATATAAAATCAAATCAAGAAAAACATGCAGCAATGGGGACAGCTTAGTGACATGATTCCTATTTTGCCGTGAGCACAGATTTAAGGCACATCAAATGGTGCTGCACTTTGAGTATTTCCATTGGTGCTTCATGTCACAGCGATAATATTGTACCTTTTATTACACTTTTATTACATATATGATGCATTGTTATGGATTCATCAACTCAACATCTTACAGAATTGTTGAATTTAGCTCCAGCTAAAAAAGCTCCACTTGCTCATTTATCAGGAATATTAAAATATATGATGGTATGAAATTCAAAGGAGCAGTTTCTAAGATGAGATCTACTTTAAAGGATAGGATTACATTTTCTAAGTCAATCTTGAAGCTGTAGTCGGGTTCCCATTATTTTATTTTAATGCCATATCCCAGGGCTGGATGATATTACCAAACATTTTATCAAGATGAAACTTTTCATATAAGGGTACACATTTGGATTGTTAAATAGGCCGTCACGGAATGATGACAACAAGCAACAACAACCAGTTTCAGTGTTCTTATCGGGAGCTGTGCATCTCTAGAGAATCTGTCGTCAGTATTATCTGTGTAAGGACAGTTACATGTTACCGCTGTAGCTTATACTTATGTGAAACCTCTGCAGTGTTGTGTTCAAATAGTTTCAACTGTCAGTCTTCTCTGTTTCCCCAGAATGGTGAAGTGGACCCAGCAGTCAAAGCTCTGGAGGCTCGTCAGGATGAGATCATAAGAAAACTGTATGAGCTGAAAGCCGCTGTGGAGGGCCTGGCCAAGACTGTGCACACCCCAGATGCAGATCTGGACCTGACAGTCAGCAGCAGCCTCTCCTCCCAGACCTTCAGCTCCGCAGCCCTCAAAGGCACCACAGACCTGGACTCACTACTGGGCAAGGTGAGAGACGTGATGCTAGAATCTCTTTCCTACTACTGGGCAAGGTGAGAGACGTGATGCTAGAATCTCTTTCCTACTACTGGGCAAGGTGAGAGACGTGATGCTAGAATCTCTTTCCTACACAAACCTATGCACAGTTTGTCCCCGTTTCTTTCAGTTGACATACCCTGACTGTATTTTCTGTTTGGTGGTAACCGTCTCTGATGATACTTGTCGTACCTGCCTGTCCTTACAAGTTCCAAATATTGTGCTAACTGGAACAATCGGCTCATAATGGAATTTGTCTTGAAGCATATATGAGGGTGTGGACTGATTGCAAGGCCGGGTTGTGCAAGTTGTTTTTGTCACGTAATGGAAGATAAATGTTGAACACAGAATGTATTTTGAATAGAACTGCTACTTACTGTACCTCTGTCTTGTTTGTATCAGGACCACGGCGCTCTCCGTGACATTGTCATAAACGCCAACCCAGCACAGCCACCTCTGACCCTGCTGGTGCTCCACAGCCTGCTGTGTAAGCGCTATCGGGTCCTCTCCACCGTCCACGTCCACTCCTCAGTTGCCAGCGTCCCGTCACAGCTCCTGTCCTGCCTTGGCCCACGTCACGAAGACAGCTATGCCCGCCACCTCTTCCAGCTGGGCTTCACCCTCATATGGAAAGATGGTAAGGCCACAGTGAAGGTTTGTGTTAGCGGATGGACAGAGGACAAAAAGTGTAGGGACAAAGAGATGAAGGAATAATACCGTGGGGTGTGCATCACTAAATCATTCTTGTACAACTGGTACGACTGGTAGTAGATCAAAGCAGAAGGTTAACATAATAAATATAAAAGGTGAACCTGGTTCATATGTTGGTGCCACACAACAACTGTGCTGTTTGATTTGATCTCTTCTGCTTGTTAGCTCCATGATTGGGAACCTAATTACAGTTCTCTTCACTCTTTAGAGCTTTGTATTCATACGAGCAGTGATTAGCATATTGACACGTGTTGTTAATGCTTGTGTCCTTGTCGTAATGTGACACATGTGCTCTGTCCACAGTCCCCAAACTGCAAATGAAGTTTAGCATCCAGAACATGTGTCCCATTGAGGGTGAAGCCAACGTGGCACGTTTCCTCTTCAAGCTGCTAGCTCCCTACCCCAGCGATCCCTCCCTCGCCACTATGGTGGACAGCTGGGTGGACACAGCTTTCTTCCAGCTGGCAGAGGGCAGTGCCAAGGAGCAAGCTGCTGTCCTGCGGGCGCTCAACTCCGCCCTGGGCCGCAACCCCTGGCTGGTGGGGCCGGAGTTCTCCCTGGCCGACGTCGCCTGCTGTTGCTGCGTGCTGCAAAGTGGCTCAGCCTGCTCTGCCCCCGCTAATGTCCAGCGCTGGCTCAAGTCCTGCGAGAACCTGGGCCACTTTAGCCCCGCCAAGGCAGTTCTGCAGTGACTGGTGCTGTCCCGGGAGCAGACACCAGAGACGGTGTCCTACACAAGCAAAGTGAGAGAAAGGCATTAGAATATCAAGATATCCCAGCCATGTCTGGAAAGCTTTCTAATGCTTCCCTCCTTACTGTATTATATCACTGAACTGACAGAGACTCAGTAGAAGCAAAATGGTTTATGGGTAAAGTAATTTAAAGAGTATTTGTCTCTGCCATGCTGCTTTTATATCACAAGAGATTCTATGCTATTTTTGCAAGGGAGGAAGCATGAGAGACTGTAAAGACAAGGGCTTGGTGATGAATTAAATCAAAGGTACTGACAAATAGACAATACACCTTCCACCCACTTTGTGCCTAACATGATCCTCTTCTAGATGTGTGTGTGTGTGTGTTAATGTGTGGTGGCAGGTATTACTGGTTTGTTTTCAAAAGTAATACTTTGTACCATTTGTTTTCCTGAAGCCATTAAAACTTCTACTTTGGATCAAACTTTGAACTGGGGCCTGAGCTTTGTTTGAATTTTTTATTTTTCATTTTTCTGGAGTAACTGAACGAGTTGCTTCCGCTGAAGTGCACCTCTGTGTCCAACAGGTGGCAGGGTTGTCATCATACAAGACTTTCCAAACATGTAGTTGAACCTTGTTCATCAGCTGATCTTATCGCATGCAGAGCTGCACCTCTTCCCACCGCACATACAGAGCAAGAAAGTTGTTCTCTAATACTCTGGATTAAATCATTAAGGACAGTAATGGAAGCACATAATATGTTTTGAGAATTGACTTTGGCACATTATGAGCAAATTATTCAAATAAAAACATTAGTGGAAATGACAATTTGCAGTGTTTAATCAAACTAGTTAAATATTTGCTCTGGGCAGATATGAATATCAGCTTAGATGTCAAACAAGAATCTTAAGTATTTCAGTCCTGAGTCAGTCATTACTGTAGTTTGTCCAAGACTAGAGACATATTTATGTTCTAACTCTAAATGTCCTCAGAACATTTCTTGGTCAGATTTTTTTTTTAAAATGAAGGGAACATTAGAGTGATTGGTTGAATACAGAATATTCTAGACACTCAAATATCAAGATAGCCTCAAATCTCAGGCTGTATTTCACTTGTGACTGTATATCACTCACACTCAAATAGAACTGAAAATATTGAAATCCAGTGCAGTTTATATTCCAGTTGAAACCATATGATCTAAGGAAGTAATTTTGTAGTACTTCTTTTTCTCATTTAATTTGCAAGTACTGAAAAACCTCCAGTGCAAAGGCTTTATCAAATTCATGCTGTAAATTGTTTTTTTTGTGTTACCAACTTGACCGTTCCCTTTACTACACTTAACCTTTAGCTCCACACCTTCAGTGTGTTCTTTCTCTGCAACCAGTTGTTCAAGGTGTGTTTACTCCTTATCTGCTGATGTGTCTTGCTGAAACGAATCCAGACTGTCTGTCTGTCTTGAGAGGAATAGATTTTGGAGCAGCTCAATTTCAGGTTTGTTTAAAGAATAATCCTTTGTGAGTGCTGCGAGCAAAGTCAAAGAACACCACATACATATTAATACATATATGTGTGTATATGTATATATGGTCATATGGGCAATAATGTTGAAAACTAGATAAAAACCAACTCCCCTGGTCTTTCATGCTCCCCGGGGGAGTTGGTTTGGTTTTGCATCTTCACAAGTGTCATGTTTTCGACAGTTCCCGTCTGTGCTGTGTGTGTGTGTGTGTGTGTTTTGACAGCCCCCTGTTGGTCTCCATGCAGCTGTCAGACAACACCAAAGCTCTTAACTGACGTCAGGGCACATGGCAAAGAATACACTCGGGACTGTGCAGCTCTGGAATCTTTGCATTTGCCTGCTTTCTGCCTTCTTCACCACAAACACGGTTTTCTCTGATCGGTGCGTCTTGACAGCCGATCCATCAGTTACATGATTACTTATGATTTTCAACTGGTGAGGGGGAAAAAGTTGAGAATAAAATGTCACATATCTTTATATATGATATAAAACATACAGACAGGAGATGCATTCTCATTGAATAGCTGTAGAAAAAACAAACCAAACTGAAAGACAGAAAATCACTTAATTTTAACCCTGTGGCTACTTCAAACCAAAACGACAGCACACTTAAAAAGATATTGTCAGTATATTCGGTCCTTGAATGTCACTGTCAATGATTGTCAATTCAGGTACTTAATTTAGGCCATTGTGGAGTGAGAGAAATAAGCTATGCCTATCAAAACAGGTCAGGGTACCATTAGAAAACACGTCTGGCCTAAGTCACCTGTGATGAGACGATAGCTCAGTGGTTTCCTGTGATGATTTAAGCACAATGTGGTTTGATTCTGTGTCAATGAAAAGGCTGAGAGAGACAGAGTTTCTGGCATTAATTCACTCTGTGGTCAAAGAGCACACGTTGCTGTTGTATCTCAAAAGCTGAATGCGCTCAAAGTAGTCGTCGGTCAGAAAGTTTCTCTGTGACGTGACCAGGTTGCCTTTCTGACTGAAGAGACGCTGGACGGGCGCCGTGGACGGCAGGGTGGTGTTGTATTTGAGGAAAAGCTGCTTCACTCGGGGGAAGTCCTGCAGGCACTCGAGGCTCTTTCCTGTTCCTTCAATGTACTTTCGGATTTCTTCCGTCACCCCCCGCTGCTGGATCTGTGCGGCAGGCTTCACGGAGCCGTAGCTGAAGAAGTCGTCCTCCGACTCGATGGTGGACAGATTCCGGCTGGTGTTCGCCTCTGTCACGTTGCAGGGATCCATCTGCGACGCCTCTGTGGCCAACACGGAGCACATCTCCTCCCTCTCGGATGCAGCCATCCACCACAAGCGAAACTGCGGCGTCGTTGCTGTTGCGATCTTTGCTTCCGTGCTGGCAAACAGCTCCAGGAACCGCACATCAATAGCCATCGCAATGGCGTTGATGACGTCGCCGAAGTAAGTTGCAGTGTCTTTCTGCTCGTTCAGCTTGTTCTTCAGACTGAGCACGGTCGGGATGACCAGACCCAAGTAACATTTCTGCTCGGCCTGGAAAAGTTCAAGTGCAAAAGCGAGCGGGTGGAAAACAGTCACGTATTCTTTGAGGAAGGCCATCTCCTCTGGCTGCATGCGTGGCACCTCCAGGCGGGCACACAGCTCTGTCAGCTCCCGCTCAGTGAGAGAGACGATCTTCTGCACGGCACAGAACTCCACATTCCAACGTATTACAGAAGGGACAACAAGCGCCATCTTTCCTATCTCCTCCGCTGCATCCATACCCACCTGGAGGTGGTGACATTTGCTAAATATGGCAAACACCTTGGCCATTGTGCTGTAATGTAGCTGGCACATGGGTCCCTGAGACACAGCCTGCCAAAAGTCCTCAGCAACAATCTGCTCCAGGGTGTGTGACGCACAGCGCTGCACAGTGGGCAGGAACAGGAGCATGTCCTGCTCAGGCTCACCCTCCAGCACAGTGCTCACATTCTCATAGAACCCAATGTCATCGTCGCTTTCCTGGCCGTCCACTGCAAACTCTTTGAAGACGCTCATGAAGGGGCTGCCGTTGTCAGTGACCGTGGTCTGAACTTTGCTTTCAATGTTGAAGGCCACGTGGATGTCATGTATGCGCCCAGCAATGGTGTCGTACGTGATCTTGCCCTGTAGCCGTGCAAACCCCAGAGCGGCAGACTTCCTCTCCAGAGAAAAGTTATCGATCCAGTGACAGGTCATCCCAAAGAAGCTCCTGTTGTTGGCTGTCCAGATGTCAGCCGTGGTGCACACGTACTGGATGCTGCTGAGTTTGGCCATGAGCTCCTCCCGCATCCTGGAGAAGCCCTGGTCCACTTTAGTAAACAAGGTCACCCTGTCCATGGACTTCAGCCCTTCAGTCAAGCCTGCGATTAGCTTAATGAAGCCAGGCTGCTCCAGCACATAAAACGACTGACAGTCTTCCACGATGAAGTTAAAGATGAGGTCGTCGACCTTTGCCTGAGTGGTGCACTTGGAGATGATCTCTGCTTTGAGCTTTTTGAGCTGACAGTGCCTGCTCTCCTCTCCGTTGCGTTCCTCTTTCTTCCTCCCCCTCTTGGCGTCAGGACTGGCTTCACAGCCCAGGTGTGTTCTCTGAAAGACAAAACACCAGAGGGTTTGTGTTACTGGTTGCAGGTGTGCCACTTGCGCGCTGTGTGTTTAAACTTCAAAAGCAAAGAAAACAGAAGTGAGAACAACAGTGTGGTTTAGTTTTTAGCAGGAGTTGAACGTGGAGAGGCTCCAGCGCCACGAGTTGGTACTCAGCACCATGTAACGTTATTAATCACAGGGGGGCTACTGTTCATTCATTGACTCTTTCAAACATTAACCTGACCTGATCTGCACAGCGACACGACTTCCTGTAACTCACGTCTAAATGCTTCTTGAGGTTGGATGTGGAGGTTTTCGACGTGGACAGCAGATTGACCCTCGGCAGACACAGATTACACTGCACGATGATATTCTTTCCTTGATCTGCCTTGTACGTGAAATGGTGGCGATAACGCCAAGTGTGCATGGCCGACTTGGTCTCGCCGCTGGTCTCCTGCTGATCCACATCCATCGCGGACGCTCTCCCTGCTGTCAGCGACGCGTCGGACTATAAGGAAAGTATCGTAATCCGATTTAGTAATCGTGATTACACGTAAAGTAACGATGGCGGTAGAGAAATCCTCATGAAAAAAGGGGGCAGGCCTTTGTTCAGATGCTGTTCGGGAAACACGCAAGATGCTGACTCTGGCGTCACTGGAGAGATATACGCATGCGCACTCGCAGCCAGATGAGCCCACGAGGAAACCACAGTGGAGCTGTGTGCATGCGTAAAATACACATGGAGGCCTTTGCTCCTACGTCACAGTCTGATCCTTGGGATTTTTGCTCACGTGCACCATGGGTAGAATTCCCTCTAACTCCGGTGGAGCAGCGATTTAGCGCCACCACCAGGGAGCGGGTGTAAAAAGAAAAGCCCAACATGGTTTAATTGATGCATCCATTGTGTAATAATAAGAGAAATCTGCGATCATCTGGGTTGTAGTTCGAGGAAATAACAATATCAAGAAAAACAGACTAAGACAGAAATATTTCAGTTACATTAAAAAAGCTTCAAGCCAAAAGAAAACATTGATTTTAAACTCCTGACATTATCTCAGTCAATTTTTATTTGGAAAGTTTCACAACCTTTAGATAAAGAGATAGAACCGAATGCATACAGTACATTTATATTCTGACAAATAAGTTTGTTAATGAGAAATTAATAAAACATGTGAATCATTTATAAAATCTCCATTTCTCAGAGTCACTCACACAAAACGCATCCCACTGACTTTAATCATGCAGCTGACAAATTGGTTCATTAAAGATGCAAAATAATTGAAAAAACAAACAAACACAACATTCATGCCAGTATGAACAAAGACAGACGTGCTTAATGCATCCCTGAGCCAGATGGAATAATTTCAGACCAGCAGGGGAAACATTTAAGAGATGTGCTTCTATGGACAGCTTTCACTGGAAAGGCCCCAGCTTGATAATGAAAATAAAAACAGCTCTTGATGGTACAGAGCTGCTTTTAACAAACTGAACAACTTTGGATCACAATAAAAACATCCAAAGTCAATTCAACCCGTCACTATTCCTGAACTCAAATGAACAGACATGCAGTAATGCTACAATTATAAAATGTCACACTATTTGGGCAACATGATGATTCAGTCTGAACGTGAAAAAAAGTGTGATCGAGCAGTTTCCACTGTTGGCTGCAATTTTCCTCGGGGGAGCTCTTGCTTTAATTCACAGGGATATATCAGCATCTTTTTTTAAACAAATTTCCGCATGATTATTGAAATCACTTTCTTTTTAAAAATCATCTCTCATAATGGCTTTTATTCTTTCCTTTAGCCAAAATATCCGATGTTATCCTATTAGCCTGGAGCCATGTATGTGTGCACACACCGCACAAGTTCTCGCCTCTATGCTCTCGGCCAAGGGACGCGGGACGAGATCAGCAACAACTGCAGCTATCACAAGAACTTGTGAGTTCTCAAATGTGAACGCAGCTCCGGGCTAGGAGGATAACAGAAGACATTAAGGCCTCAAATTTGGTGAAAATGATGCCAAATCAAGTCAAATTTGAATGTCTGGGCTTACGGATTCTTGGATGACACCACAGGAACAGTATGGAGACATTTTATGTTTTCTTCTGTTGTTTTTTTATGTTTGAAGGAGTCACCAGTAACTTCAATTGTATTGGATTTGGCTGCAACACTGTTTACTCCTGAAACTCCTTAAGTGTTTTGTGGATACAAACATTTCACCCACCCCTCCATCAGCATAGTGGTAGAAGATAATGAGGGAATTTACATTTTTGGGTGAACTATCCCTTTAAGCACGTCTGTCTGTTCATACAAATGCTGTGTTTGTTTTTGTTTTTTACTATTTTGCATCTTCAATTAACCAATTAGTCAGCTGCATGATTAAAGCCAGAGGGAGAGGAGGGGAACAGTTTGTGTGAGTGACTCTTCAGTGAATGATTTTGTAAATTATTCACGTTTTATTTATTTCTCATTAACCACGATTTTTCCCTCAGAATGTAAATGTACAGTATTATCATTGATGAATATCCGTCTGTGTGTGTGTCTAGTAATGCACTCATCAAGCATTTAATTGCTTTTTTAATAGTCGTTTCCACAGGGAAATGGATGTTTGGCATTAGCGCACCACAGAGAAAGTCTGTCATTAAGTCTCTCCCCAGCTCCCTCACCCTCACCCCTGTGACAGACGACTCACTGGGGGTTTTGCTTATATTCATATATTCTGAGACGAGACACTGGTTTGTTGGGTAATTCATATTTCTCCAAAATGATTCGCTTTTATAAATGCATCCAGTTGTAAACTGTGACTTAATAGTTTTTTCTTTCTTTATTCAACAGCTCATCCCCTCCATTGGTTAGATTTGGTGAGGGTGGGGTCTCACTTAACAGGCATTGACGTAGCCCTCTCTGTGGCCATGGCTATTAACAGAGACGCAATCAGTTTGGGAACAGAAGAGAAAGTGTTTGGAGACAAAGAAAAATTGGGAAACAGAAGAGAATGACGTGGTGAGGAGGTTTGAAGTGGTCTGAGTTAGTACATCATGCTGCTGCCCTGCTGTGCTGTGCGCTTCAAACCTGTGTGGAGCTTCTGGAGTGGACACAACTGGTGTCATCTCACAGCAGCAGCAGCCACCAGTTGGGTTTGAGCATCAGGTGAACGTTTGAGTCATTCTTCAGTCCACTTTTAGCAGATGGGAAAAAATCAGAGCACGGACCTGAACCATTATGAGCCAAGGATCCGCGCCCTGACGCGCCCCGGTGCGTGCATACTGGACCGCTGAGAGTGTGGACTAGTATGAAGCGTCATGGCTTGGTGTGACCGCGGGGTTCAAACGCTGCTGGCCACCGTAGGGGCTTTCGCTGCCTTCAGCCTGATGACCATCGCCATCGGCACGGACTACTGGCTCTATTCTCGGGCGTACATCTGCAACGGAACCAATGCCTCCACGGATGACACCCAGTCGCAGCCCAAAACCAAGAAAGGCGATCTCACCCACTCCGGGCTGTGGAGAATCTGCTGTATTGAGGGTGAGTCTATTCTCACTTTTGATTCCACTACGGCATGAAATAAAGTATATTCCTTAAATGTGTGGTGAAATAACATTGGTTGCAACGATGTTAAAGAAACAGTTTTAGTTTCCAAGGAGGAATGTTTTGTTTCTGGGTGCGCGCAGCTGCTAGAGCGCACGAACCAAGCGCTCCCTTTACTCACACCATGTAGGGAGATATAGGCGCACGACAAGAAACACATCACACGTGTGGAACAACTTTCAATGGCTATAGATCAGATGTATAAAGTATGGATATACACGCATGCAGGGATTTTAAACATCACTGATCTGCTGAAGTGGCAGATTAAGGGGAATCAAACGCACGGTGTCCCGCTACGCGCTCAGTTCAAGCTTTCTGCCAACTGTTCCATCGCATTGTTCAAGCCCAGACCCGCACATTACATACGGCTGAGTGTGAGTCTATGTGAAGGATGCGGTGCCAAACCGGCGCGTCTGAGCCCATTCACTTTTAAGGAAATGTGCGCGCTATTAGTCTACTTTCATTCATGTCTTCATTGTATCCGATGCTGTTGCTTGGCAACATCCCTGAAATTGCTATGGAAACATGCCCAGGCATTTAAAAATAGATGACTCTGAGTTCACGTCATGTCCATACAAAATAGAAATTTATATTTTATGTAGTTGAGGGAAACGGATTTAATTTCAACTTTTCGTCCTTTTTGGGAGAAAAGAATTGGGATCATTTTTACGCAGTAGATGTTTGGAAAAAGAGTTGCGTTGGCTGTGACGTTTTATTTCAGAGGCAGACAGACACTCATTCATTGACCAATCTTCTTTCCGGCCACCACTTGACTCCTCAGCTTCAGCTCTCTATGAGTGAGTTGATGTGACTGGGGGGTTTTCTTCATGGCACAAACCATGACGCAGAAAAATATCATGGAAACTGCTTCACAAACTAATGAAACGCTGCTGCATGAAAGTAAACCAAAAAATATGAAGTACAAACTGTAAAAACCTTTAGAATATGCTTAGAGAAAATTTAGAAATTCATCAAAACTGAATAAATGTACCTTTAAACCCATCACCTATAGATGATGCAGGAAACGCCGTACATGCATAAAACAGGGGCGTGTAATTAGACATTTTCTGTTAAATGAATTTGACATTAAAGGCAGAGTTAAAAACTGTGTGGCCACACGCTCAGGCAGGCACCACGTTATGTACAGAGAGTGTATATACAGGAGGAGGTGTGGACCATGAACACAGCACATTGTGTTCCAGCAGCACATCCAGTGGAGCTGCTCAGAGACGTGACACCATATTGTCATTTCTGGAGGAATATTTTAGATACAGAAATAAAATTCAGATGATATATTCTAAAATGTAATTTTATGTATTTTCTTTTGATTAT